GGGTTCCTGCTTAGAGAACTAATGGAGTAGAGCCCCAAAGAGAAAATACATTTTTTAAAATTACTGGATCAAGATTTAAAAAATATAATTGTTTGGTCGTTGGCTTGCAGAAGTGCCGTGCAAAGTTTCGAGGGCATAGATCCAGGTAAAATCCTCAGTGAGCTAGAATTTTTTTTACGCGTACAGACAAATTATGTGAACAAGCTATAGAATCTATAGGATAAGTAGTACAAGACTACAAGAAGTAGGCCAACAAGTCAACAAGATCCTCGTGCCTGTTACGGATTACGGATCCTCTGTGTTCATCATAGGCCTACCTCTTTGGTGTCCAAAGATCATAGTTCTGCAATTGCCAGGTTGGCGTTTTTTTAAATTATGAAAAGAATTTTTGCTTTTCTTAGATGTCCTTTTTTTTGGACTCCAAAGATGAAAAAAGAAAAAGAATGATAATTTCTTGATTTTCGCTTTCTCAGAACCATAAAGTTGTTTTTCATCATTCAATGTAAAAAATGAGGGTAAAAAGATGATGCATTGAGAATACTACGTTGTGATTTGTGCTGTGGATAATGCTCGGCAAACATTTCAATACGTCAATTCAAAGCAAAATATCTCGTACTTATGTACATACATGTACAATTAAGCTATATTGTAAGTTTGCTTTTGGTGAAGTTCTTTCTCATCAAATTGTCTCCATTTTGCACTCATAAACTTTTTAAAAAGTGAAATGAAAGAAAAGATAGGTTAAGCCCAAATAATTGATTTGGCCGATCACTTCTTCCTTATATCTACCTTATCTGGCAATTATTGAAAACAAGAACAAGAAATCAAGAAAGCAAATGGTGAGGTTAATGCCGTGCACTCATAAATAAACTCAACAGTCGTAACCTCGACATTTCAGGAAAGCTGAACAAGATTGAATGATCAGGTGAAATTATTTAACTCAAGCAGTTGTTGGACCACACGCGGATTTAATTAGAGAACGTCAGATGTAGACTAGGCCCTACGGGCTACGTCATTCGTCATTGGCCGATATTTCAGAACTCGGTTTTATTGTTTGATATCAAATATATAAATATTATATAATATAATAGATTTCTAGATATAGATCTAGATCTACATCTAGATATCTAGATATAGAATCTAGATCTAGATCTAGATCTATAACTATAATCTGTTTCGGGCATTCCTGTACAATTGCGAACAGTGATTTTTGTAGTTTCGTTCGTAGTTAAAGTCAAGAGTAGGCCAGTAGGGTAGGGGGGTTTCAGGGGGGCTTGTCCCCCTGACCTGATAAAAAAAAATATATATCTAGATCTAGATTCTAGATCTAGATCTAGGCCTATTATATATGGAGGGGCATGCCCCCCTGAATTTTACCATAGATCTAGATATCTAATTTGATGTTTTGCAGAGGTTGCATCCCTGTTCTTTGTGTTGCTTATTTGGTCATCAAGACTTCTGGATTTCTTCTCTGGATGTAAACAAACGTGGACTTTAACGAGCGGAACTACAAGATCACCTTGCAATCTAACACTAGAGATTTAAATCCACACAATTTAAGCAAGGACTGTTATTAGATGGCTACCTGTGAGTGAGAATAGCGCAGGCGATTCTTTTGGCTTTTCTCACCCGGTGTGCGTTCACCGTTTAGGCCAACCAGTGTAGCGTTCACCCTGAACCACAGAATTCTACACTGTGATAACAGAATTGTTGAATTTTATGTGCCGTGAACAAACGTTCCATTACTACTGTTAATGTTAGCCTAAAAGCGTACAATTTTGTCTGTGGGCAGAGAGAGAAAGGGAGAGAGAGGAGCAGCGTGAGAACTTCTGGGTAAAACAAAATGGCGACCCGCGTAGTTCGGCTCGATTCGAAAAGTTAAATGGCTGTAGCATCTTTGTAGACGACCAATTTAATTTTCTTTTGTGTTTTACATAATTTTTTTCAACTTTGTTTGATTCAATTTGATAGTCCACACTGATAGACAGTATTCAGAAAGAGAGAGAGAGAGGGGGGGAGGAGTAGATCTTGGGAGAACTTCCGGGCAAAACAATGGCAACCCGCGTAGTTCGGCTTGATTCGAAAAATGAAATAGCCATAACATCTTTGTGGATGATCAAATGAGCTTACTTTTGTGCTATAATGTCATTTTTTCTTTGCTTTTATCTATTTGATCATCCGCACGGATAGACAGTATTCCGAAATTAGGAAAAACAGGTCTTGTTTCACACCGGGTGAGAATAGCCAACTCTGGCAAGTCTCACCGAGGGTGAGAGGTCGATCGTATTTTTATTCTGACCCCGAGTGAGGATAGCCACTTCCCTATTTGATATCGATACTGATTTAAATATTCGGTATCGATGTTTTATCAGTAGATCTAGCCTACAAAATGAGCAGTAACTTAAAATTTCACTTGTGTATTATTTAACAAGGTGAGGGGTCCCCCCCCCCCCCCTGAACCCCCTTATGTTTTTGTTCTGTGGTCAGGGGGGGGGGGGGGGGGGGGCATGAATTTGACCATAATTTGATGTTTTGATGTTAGGTTTGATAGGCTATCTCCCCATAGGCGTATGGGCACATGCATCAAAAAGTAAATGTTTAAAACCAGAAGTAATCGTAGCCAACAGGACCGCAATTGTACAGGAGTGCCCTGTTTTGAGCTGCATGAGCAAGTGCTGTGAACTTTTAACTTGAAGGATGTCCAATATTACAGTATTTGAACTGGGCCTGACCACCTGGTCGTGGATCCGGATCAAAGTCAGAAAATCAGCACTACATTAGGCAATACTCGTCAAGAAATTGGAATACTCAAGAAATTTCCAGATCGAAGCCTGTTCTTATTAACCCAACATTCTTGCTCTTGCAGGTGGTGAAAACGCCATCTTTCTACAACCGTCCGTTGTTGTGTTCTATCCCTTATAAATTTTAAAGGTAAAATTAGCAAAATGTACGCTCAAATTCAAATAGAGTTCTAAAAGTTCATGGAAATATATATATATTTCTCAAAAATCAATCAGCTCTGCTTTCATATCATCATCACTGTTCGTTTTGTCAGGTTCCTAGAGCTGGCAGCAGTGTGTTTAAGGTTTGTCATATACAGTATACACAGATAGGACAGGTTGGACTCGAAATCATGCATTGGTCGAACTGTACCTACGGTCCCGTTTTTTTTCCTTCTTTATCTTTGTAAGATGTCCCTCGAACTTCCGAGGCCGGTCCCGACGAATTCGAGCTCTATCCATGTTATACTGTATTTTGCTTATATTCTTTTTCTAGTGGATGATGACAGCATCTTTATTTACCTCAATCATTTTTTAGTTGCCTGACCTGGAGATGTCATTTCTGATTCAGAGGTTGACATGTAATGACCCCCCATTCTTCATAGTCGCAAACTGCCTTTGCATATTCTGCTATCCAGGCCACTCCTTGTTTTTATGTTGTTCATCCATGTTACTCTTTGCCTTCCCCTGGCTCTCCTTTCAATTACAACTGTTCAAATATTTATCTTTTATGTGAAAGGAATTCTAATGATAAACTATAGTGGTTTTGATTTGGATTTCTGTGCTGATCTGACTTTTTTCTTTCCCTACTCATATATATTTTAAATGTCTTGTTTTTAAATATCTTTTAAAGTCAAAATTTAATGGTCAAAATATTTTCTATTTGTTTCAGAATCAGCAAGAGTCGAGCATGGGGAAGAAAAACATGGCCAGTGGTGGTGACCCTTACAACGATGAAGAGATTTCAAGAGCAAGAACATTACTTTTGGATCAAATGGAGATTGGTCGAATGCAGTACTTGAAAAGGAGACTAGTGGTAGGGGAAACTTTCCCTAACCTGTGGGAGGGTGAGGAAGGTATGATGGAGCACATCATGTGTCCGTTTCCTATGCCGGATGTGGAGATGGAAAACGATCCTGTGGAGAGCAGCGAGGGAAGTGGTTGTGGTTCTGAACGGAAGGCCCATGTCCACAGCGGAGGAGATGCTCGTGTCCAAGTCTCTAATTCTCAGAGCTCAGGGGGGTCAGTAGAAGGCCTCTCTTCCACCAGGGACTCTCTGTGTTCCTCTGACCAGCAGGAGTCTGGTACTGGCTCTTCCTCCTCTACAGCCCCTGCTCAGAGTGTCTCTAAATCGAGAACAGGGACTGTGACTTCATTGGCTGAAAATAAACAAATTTCATCTGAGCTTCTGTCAGCAACTGATCACTTCCTGGCTTCGATCTCGTCTGCTTCAAACAATAGTGGTATAGATAAAGATTCAAAGGTCTCTAGTGAGGGGGCTAGTTCGGCATCTGAGGAGGTGACGATTTCATCATGCACAAGTGACTCGGGGGCAGTCAGCCGTCCAGCACTGGAGAGTGGGTGTGATGCAGTCATGCAGTCAACACCAGGGGATGAGGTGGAGAGTCCTCAGTCTCCCAATGACTTGTCGGTAGAGGAGGAGGCCGTCTCTATTGAAGAACTCTTGTTTTGGCAGAAAGTGTCTTCACTGTACTTTGAGCTGCTTGAAATCAAGGAGTCTGTTGAAAAATCTGACATTGAGGCCATAAAAACTGAGGGAGCCCTATTAAAAGCATTCAGGATTTTGAAAAAAACGCGTTTTAAGCTGAATGTCTTGGAGAAACAGTTCAAATGTGACCAGCAAGAAAGAATGCAGCATGGTTATAATATTAAGATGCCTAAACTACTGAAAGTAAAAGAGCAAGATGCAAATCAGCACTGTTGGAATATCTATGATATAACAAGGTGCTTTAACAGAATTCGTTCCCTTTTGAAGAAAAAGCGCAGCGCTGTGACAAAGGCACGAAAACAATTGAAGCTAGTGTCTGGAGAAGGATCCTCGGGCCAGAGTTCTTCCCCTTGCTCTGAGAGCTATGTCAGTGGCATCAGCGAAAGCTTGAGTGACAGTGGCCAGAATATAGGTGGTGTTCCCAGCCATAAACATGAACAAGAAATGTCTAGGCAGGAGTCGAAATACTGGAAAAGCCTGGAAGAGATTTTACTACAGTTGAGAAGATTTAGTAGTAAGTTTGGTAAACTCCAGTTTAGAAAAGGTAAAAAGTATGTCCTGAAAGGGTCCAGACTCGCTGTTGTGGGTAAGTTAAAACGTCAAATTACAGTTCTAGAAGGTAATTTAAAAGCCAAACAGCAGGAAGGGAGTCAAATGGGATATCGGATTTCTAGAAAAAGACCTAAACATCAGTCTAAAAGAGAGAAAAGGCAATTTGTTGCAGACTTAAAACAGGTGAATGAATATTTTGTTATTGTAAATGAAAGGTTTCAGGCAGTGATGAAACAAATTGAAAATGTTCCTGAGATAAATGTATCTGTGTGAACTATTATTTTAACTGTTCGCTTAGCCCAGGTCTTTTTCATTTTCGCACATGGGCTTTTGCAGTTTGCATAACTGTGTCTCTTGAGAAATGTCATGTTAACAGTTGTGTACAGTCTACCATGCGCTCAAAGCCATACACACACACATAAAACGGAATAGATTTTCAGGTCCTGAATTTTTTCTTATCTGTGCGTTATGCATTTCATTGTATTTTAAAATACACATACATAGTGGAATATGTACATGATAGCTTATTTAGATAGTGAACAGATTTATACGTCCCAACAATTTTATTATGCGCGTGCTGGACTGTACTTATCAATATCATTTTATTTTCCTCTGTCTACATGAAACTTTGCCATCTTCACCCAATACTGAGTATTCTGGATCTTAGCATGATTTTTGCAAGAAGAGGTTCATGGCTTATAATATATATATCAGAGTTGTATTTCTAGATTAGACTTTTGTTTATGGTGCAAAAAAAAACTACAAAAACTTTTGTAATGCACAGAGTACAAACTGGAGCGCGCGCTGGCCTACAATTTTCTTGATATGATTTGCAGGATGCGGTCTGTAGAATGTCATTGACTCGGGTAGCCCGGTTGGTAATTGGTGACATTTTGGATACTGATGTGGATGACCTTGGTTCAAAATTTTTAGATTTGTGTTTGGAAAATTTTGATGGCTGTTTACCCCACTGGTTCAGTCCCCATCCCTATCATCACCATCAGAGATGCAAGTTAAATCACAGGTCCCACCTTTTAAATCCTTGCAATGTTGCAATACTATGCTCATTATCATTAAATACTTTTGTTTTGAAGTGGGAACAGGAAAACATATGTCATGACATGGTAGAATCAGGTTTTCGCTGGGTTTTTTGCTCAATACTTTGCCTTTTTTATGTCTGTTTAAAAACTCATTTGTGTGGATTTTAGTGAAAAATTATGATCAAAGACACACCAAAAAAATTAGTTTTTCTAAGGACATTGAAGCTTTGGAAGTCAACAGACTTTGGTGGCCAATTTTTCATTAATTGTACCCCTGACACCAGGCAACCCCACCTCCTTCAATGGCAAATTTCTTTACTTCTATTCAAGGTAGATGGGTATTTTTTCATAAAAAGTAACACCAATGAACAAGCTTCAAGATGATACCGGTAACCCCATATATATGCCCCAAAACGTATGAGCGCCTGATTCCACCCAACATGACACATGTTTATTTAGGAATGAAATTAAAATTGTTTTCGTTGTGTATCAGTTGTTGGAAAGTGACTCTTAAAAAAATGTCATTTTATGTACCGTAGTAGAACTGATAGTTTTGAGTGGTATTAAAAACGGTCGCTTTTAAGGACACAAGCGGGATAAACCAGATTTCGGGGGTTTCCAGAAATCTTGACCTACACCAAAAGTGGGCATTGCCTTACCTATAGGAGAAGTTTGATTTCATTGGTGTGTATGTTTGGTTATAGAGAAAACTCTCCTTGTCTGTTTAAAAAGAAAGATAACAAGGGTCCAAAAATGTTACCTTCGATTTTCTCATTTTTCGGGATTGCCCCTTGTGCTTAAAAGCGGCTAAATGTGTGCAATATGCATTGCTTTGGAATGTAAATTAGCAAGGTTCAGTCAAGAAAAGCTTTTCTTGAGTCAGTTTTAGTACAATGTAGTAGTAGAGATTTCAGTATGTACATGTGTAAGAAGCTTACACTTACAATACACTTTCTGTCGTTGACTTGTGGTAGGCTACATTTCGAGGTTCATCATGTGGGTATTTATGTTATGACATTTTGCGTTAACTGATAAAGTAATGCAGTCAGGGAAGGGTAATTTTCTCTTAAAAATACATTGTACAGCTACAATGTGAACATTTTTTTTACAGTTACAGTTGAAGGTTTGAACTTAAAAAAACCCCCACTGCTAATAATAATAGTAGTAATAATGCTTGGTAAGATTACAATTTTCTGCACATTCATCAATTACATGTGGGTGGTTGGTGGGTGGTTGGTGGGTGGTTGGTGGGTGCTCTGGTGTGGCTTGCTCCTCCTTTCCTATCAAACATCTATCGTCCTTATCTCTCCTCCTTCTATTTTGTGTTTGTTACTCATTTGTAATTGTAACGCCTCTAATCTTCGGCACTCATATGACTACTGTGACCTTATTGTGTTGCTAACGCCATAAAACCTTACTAAAACAGACATCAATTGATGTATACTCACAGTATACCAAGGACATGTTCGGCATGCTATAATATATATTACTTTTATAATTAGAAGAAATTTGTAAGATGAAGATGGTCAGGTGTTTGCAGTTACCTTTTTGAATTAATTCTAAGTCTAAGCCAGAGGCAGGGCCTGAGGCCTATAGTCTACAGTGCAGAAATCTTAAAATTTTTGCTGTCACCGTACATATTTTAAATACAAAGAATAGGCTACACGTTTTACTAGTTATAGTTATTATTTATATAAGAAAAGGTTCGGGACCTGAAAATCTCTTTGCAATGCATGTGTATGTGTTGTTAGCTATGTGTGCATGCTGGACTGTGTAGTTTATTTCATGTGTTATCTTTTATGAATGGCTGGTCAGTCCAATTCTAAATTGAATGAAGATGGGTCAGAGCTGTTGTGGTCAGCACTCCTTTCTTGGGTTGCTATAGTAGTTCAGACCCGACAGTCAATGGAATGAGGCTGTGTTAGTTATTGTGGCTAATAAATGTAAATTTATAGTACAGGTCTATTGGTACTATCTCTAATATTATATCACTACTATGACTTATAAGACTGGTTTGGAAGTTTCAGCTGAATTGAAAATAATTACAATTAAACCATTAAAAGTTCTGTCAGTGTTTCCTTCTGGTTGTATATATAATATATATTGTCACGTGTACTTTGTTCTGTGTATGTGTTTGTTGTGATTCGTTATTTATTGTTGTTTTTCCTTTGAATCAAATGTGTGACAGCTATTGGATTTCTGCACACAGCCCTGTCATTGTCATGTCTTCCTAAAAAGGGATAGTGAGGGAGGGGGGTTTAGTGGGTGGTGGCAGGTGCTTTGGTGTGGTTTGCTTCTTCTTTCCTATCACACATCTATCGTCCTTATATATCTCTCCTTCCTCTTTTATGTTTGTTACACTCTTCTAACACCTCTAATCTAATCTTCTGGCGCTCTTACTCTTTATAATGCAGCTGTGAGCGCCATGAAACCTATACTAAAACTAAACTAAGGATGGGGGTTTATGGATGTTTTCCATGAGGCTTGATGTTATCTCTTTGAGGAGTTTTTAGAAATTAATAGCAGTAAGAGATCCGCCTGTGTTTTACTGAAAGGTCGGTGCATTTCTGTCATTATCATTGAGTAGGCCTATGATGAGAGGTCTGAGTTACAAGATGTTATTTACATGAATGTGTACATGTATGTACCACAACGGGTTTGAGTGAGGCTGTGGGTGGTTGGTGGGTGCTCTGGTGTGGTTTGCTCCTTCTTTCCTATCAAACATCTATTGTCTTTATCTCCTCTCCTTTGTTGTGTTTGTTACTCTCTTGTAACACCTCTAATCTTCGGCACTTAAATTTAAATGACCTTATTGTGTTTTAAGTGCCGTAAAACTCTTACTAAAACAATGAGTGAGGTTGAAAATTATACTCCAGTTGACTCAGCTGAGGTACTTTATACTTTATACTTTATGAGACTGGCTGCATCAGCTGTTGCCTACTGACTACTGTGAGGGATAACTTGGTTGGGCTTAGTTGGATACAGTATCCCTGCAGAATGACAGGGATACTCAATACTTGTAATTTGTAAATGAATTCCACGCAAAGGTATGGACCCAACATCTACTTGACTACATGCAGTGTGGTAGAGAGCTTGGCTGTCACACATACCATAGATGCTGGTCACTTTGATCTTTGATGTAGAAATTATTTACTCGCTCAACCGGATCAGGGAATGGATCTGGCCTATGGGTCACGTTTTTCCTACTCGTAATTGCTTCGAAGTAATCCCAGAAATATAGTTTATTATTAATTGGGCGCATTATAATGCTTCGAAAAATACGTGTCTCATTTCGCTGTTCTTTTTTATTACAATGAGAACGCTCATCTAGTCACATTTATTCATCAAACACACTCTCGTGCACAGTCAAATATATTTCAAAATGCTTTAACAAAGCATTGCTCTACTCTAAAGTGTCATAAAAAGCTTTGGCCTCAGCCGGAATTACTGATTTCAGCGCCTGTAAATGTTATTTTGTACTTGAGAGACATTTTCTTTCTAATTGTAGCACAGGGGCAGTGGTGCTTAATGGCATATTGTTGTTATTGCGGGGTTTGGGCATGTCTTGCCAGTCGTCACAGAAAACGAGCTTGTGGTGAATGTCTCCTTGTGAGGAATATCTCCTTGTGCTGAATGTCTCCTTGTGAGGAATAGAGGAGCGCTCGTATGGCAACCACTTTTGCGGCCCCCGACTTTTTTTCCTGGTCGAATGGTCGAGTATTCCTGTAATGATGATGAAAATGTTCTGAAGAAAGTATAGTGTAGGTATTTGACTTCATATGGCTTAGGGCTTTGACGCGCCAGTCTGAAGACTTTAACAAACATAGCTGTCCCCGTGGTTTTATGCACCCCGCATAATTCAGCAAAATTAGATCATTTTTTGCATAATAATTTCTGATTACTTTCCTTTATCATTCTTCGTTAAAATTAACAGAATCGCATAATTTCACGTTTTTGGGCTGTTTGCATAATTTCAGAATTTTTCTTGCATAAAACGACGGGGACAGATATAGTCAGAAGGTATGTGTAACTATAAGAGAGTTTTTGAGAGATTCCTCAATGGCGCTATGAACACTATCGAGCTCCATAAATTTGAGTGTGCCTCTTTGTGAGATATTTCTCTTCAGTTGTGATGATGAACTCACGAACTAGAGCTGAGATGACACAGGCGATTGAGGCATTTTTATTTTGGTAGGCATCCATCACTGTACAGTATTATTCTTCCATACGATTTGGCAAGGGATCGTATATTATTATAGTCTGTCTAGTCTACGATGCAAGATGAAAATTCGTCAGAAGTTCATCTTCAACCTCATGTCGCCAGACATAACATTTCACGTCCCGGGTTGCCATATTGTAGACTGAAGTTAGCTTTATTCTATAGTACAAAGCGGAGGCCTTATATTATGCATGGGACACAAGACACATTGAAGACCCATGCAGACACGCCCACTCTGTCGGACATTTAGGTCTCCACTGCTGTCTTTTAATCGTAATCCATTTCTTTCTCTAGCCACGCTGCCTCTTTATTTTCTTTGTTAACTACCCACACACCTTTTGTTACGTTGCCTGTTTGGTACCCAACGTATGTTTTTTTGGCTGGAAAAACACAAAATTGTTTTGGTTCAACTCTTTCCTGAATATGGCGAGCCCCACAGTGTAGACCTTTTACATTTTACAAATTTTGTTACGAGTTATAAAGTCGATCAAACTTTTAAACGTTGGTCCCAAATACAACTTCGAGGAACTGTCTGCAATAATCACTGGTAACGTTTGGGAGACAGTGTAGAAATTGTTAATTCAAGAATAGACTTATTATGGACTCTTCTTCTCTATCAGAATGTGAAGTAGATCTCAATGATTTGTTGTTTCTTTGGGTCGATTAAGTTCTTTCTGATTTTGCCACTGTAAGGTGATACTGATAGCTACTAATCAGTCAAATTGCCAACTACCTACTTTGGAAATTGAATTTCGACCAGATATTTCTTGAGCACATGCAACCGGTAGATCTACCACAGATAAACCCTATTCGTACGTCGTATTTTACTACCATCCATACGACATCGGGAACTCTGTGCCACCACTTTCCAAAGAGGAAATTTACTCGTTAATCCAATCCGTACGCTTTGCATAGCAGTCTGTCAAAATGATTTTTTGAGATATACTGAAAGTTTCAAAGAGATCTTCATACTAGAAGTATTCTAAAATGTGAAGAATACAACCCCAGGGGTACAAAATGACCCCAGGGCGTATGGATAGGGTTAAAAAACAGTAGGCCTAATTTTTAAAAATTCCAAGTTTTTGGGTTGTGACATTGTATCATGTGGCTGACGATATATATATATGCCATTTGGAAAAGTGATGTGTGACGGAGTCTTATACAGGGCAGTCAATGTAAAAATAAAAGAAGTGAGTATTCTATTTTAAATCAAACATTTTATTTTATACAAATGAAGTTCATCAAATTAACAAAAATAACATACATGACCAAAAGCATTGAAAATTTCAGTGAAATCCCTGCTAAAAGTTAAAACTCTGAAATAAAAATGCCAATGGGTGGAGATCATCTTATTTAACCTAAAAATTCACGAGGTTCTGATAAGATAAAGTGCCAATGTCAATAAGAAGACCAGATTTCAGGCAGTAGACGACACAAGCATTCGGCATTACCACAAACAGTTTCAAAATCTAGAAAACAGGGATTTGGGCAAAGGTTCGGAAAAGATCTATCCCTCTTTCAAAGAAAGACAACCTCGAAATGTGATGCCATTTATCAGCAAAATTATGCAAAGCGCATCATACAAAACAAAATCATCATTACTCGGCCTCAGTGCTTTCTTGTCGTATCCCCATTTTTTTTAAACAGTGAAAATGTGACTTCTTGAACCCATTCTTTGTTATGAACTGTTTTCACAGTTATTAAAAATGGAGAGGCGACAAGCACTGAGGTCTCGATAAAATGCCAGATCTGAAATGAATATTCGGTGATCATTCATTTGCCTACTTGGATCCTCTAAAATATCCCCTTAATATTCTGGTGTTTTCCTGTCACCCACATGTTCTGCTGTTCAGGTTTGACAACAAAAAAATAAAGAAAGAAATTACCCCCCCCCCCCGGCAAACCCAAGGCAGATTCAAACAGATGACAGACGAACTAGACCAGAAATCATAATACAGCATTCAAAGAACCCAAAAGAAAGAATGCAGAAGAAAAAAGACCATTTGTGCCTGTTCTATCAACTACACTAAGTTCAACATTACAGCATGAGGAAAATAAATGAAAGATATGGGGCTCCCAGCACACATGTAAAAAAAAATCTCTGAGGACCAACAGGCAGCAGTAAATTGATTCTGTAAAATCCCGTGTTTTAACGCCTCTAGCGACACAACCAGCAGTAAGAATACATGTCAATTCATCAAAAGAGAACATGAGATTGAGATTGGTTGAGAGCAAAGGAGTAATAATAAATACAGTAGAAAAAATATCACTTCTATAACCTAACTTACTATAAATATTATAATGCCCACTCCCTGGTGACTCTAGACATTTCACAATAAAACAAAATTTAAATAATAAAAAACAACAACCCAACAAACTACCAGCAACGCTGCTAACATAACAATGACACATTCATGCATTCTGACTCATCCAACGCACAGCAGTCCTTTCAATTACATTACCCGTAATCTGAAGAACACATGATACCCATTAAGACAATCACCGTGGCTGCTAAACAACTTTAAATGAAAGAGAAATCAAACTAGTGGGTAAATTGGATTTTAAAATGCTTTTGGACCAGAATTAAATGCAGTCAACAAAGAAGGCACCTCTCTTAAATTTAAAGGCAGTGGGAGCAGCTGTCAAAAAAGCCCTACATCCAATGAAATTGTTCTTTACGAGGCAGTCTCAAGTTGCATTGTAAGTCAGACAAGAATGTGTAATATTATTGCCACACTTATTCAACACACATGATGTATTATGTCGTCATGACCATAACGCATTAGTGGTCTTGGTAATTTTACTACAGGTTCCTAGTTATTGGTATGGTAAAAATGCCTCTGTTACTTGTTTGCTGTTCTCAAATACAACAGGTTTGTTTTTTTGCATTAAAAATCCAACCATTGAGACATATATATATATATAAATATAAATATATACTCAGAATTCCCATAGTTGGCTTTGGTAAGCATAGTTTAGTTTTTTCTTTCCGTTTCCCCATTAAGACAGGTTTCCAGTTTATACTGCTATACTGAATGTTTGAGTCTGTTGGCAACCTTTTTATCTTTTAAAATTTTTTACCTGTATAATTAAGTAGCGTAAACACGGCCTCACGGGCACTCGTGGCATTCCGACCGCATGGTATCGGTGAAATTGGGGTAATTCCGATTGCTGTTTCTTTGCTCTTTCGCTATAAAACACCAAATGCCGTACATCTTGTAAAAGTTCAGCTTTTCCTCATTACAAAAGTGTAAGTTGTTTATATGTCCAATTATTAAGAGCTGGAGAATCGCCGAGGAAAGCGAAGCCCCTCGCGGTCGGAATGCGTGGTGGGCCGGTTCAAAAATTGACATGCGTGAATTCAAATGCTTCGCGGAACGATGGATGATTAAATACCGTCTTTTCATTTGCAGAGAACTGTAGAGCTTTAAACGGGCTTTCCCGTGGTATGTATTTGGCTGTTGGTGTTTAAATAGGAAACCTTTTAAGATACCGTCAAAATTTTCAAAGATCATTTTTTTTACACGAAATACGCAAAATACGAGCTTAAAAAGAGGTTTAATGAAAAGATCAGTTTATTGCCTATTAGAATAAAGTAATTACCCTGGAATTATTTGGATCAATCTTTCTGGGAGACCCAGAAAGCATGTGACCCGCACGCGGGGTACACTACAGTATAGAGCTGACTCGCTTGCCGCAAGGGCCGGTGCGGCGCCGGCCGGGTCAACGCTCGGTGTTTCTGTCAAAATAACGACAGATCATCGTGTTTGCGGCGATGAAATACTGATTTGTAATGGTCTCACGGTCTTGAAAAAAATTAGGCTCCATTTGTTATAGTGATTGTACTCTGTTAATGTGGAGATGTTTAGATCTCTCAAACATGGGGTTGCAGCCAGTGACTGACTAACAAATTTGATCAAATTTTAAACAACTACCATTTTCTTAAAAATAGACTGAGAGGTTAAAGTATGGTACCAAAATGCTCAGTGGATATAGGCCTTTCAAATGGAACATATAAATTTGGCATACAGCTACTTTGAAAATTTAGTTTCTGGTTCCTAGCATAAGTAGTATAACAGAGATTTACAAAAATTTTGACGGAGATGAAATGAAAAAATACAATTTTAAGAATTCAGAAAACCATCATTAATTATACACATACGATTACCAGCAATTAAATTAACGTGTGAACAAAAAAAGGGCAATCTTAGGATCCCAGAAGGGAATGTTTTGTTTTAGCTTCTGTGCGGCTGTTGGTAGTTTACACAGACCTGCCAACCACTCCATCCTCAAAAATAGGAGTTTCCCTTAACTCCTAAAGGAAGGATACTGGGAAGAAAATTGGAGTTTTCAAAACCCCAGTAGATTGCGACTGCACTACAAAATGAGAGGGGCAAATAAATGTATATAGTACACGTAAATTAAAAAGTGTATTTTCCATTTCATTCATGCTAAGTGTTGGAATTATTGGGGGACAAAAAATGGTCTGGTTTACAGGTAGGCTACCGATGAGAATTCATTTTCAATATTTCATGCGGTAGTAAGTGACCATAACTCAGACCCATGTCCATAGCGGCCAATTGTCTAATAATGACTCTCCTCTGTGGTCTTGTTATGGACAGGTTCAACTGTCTATGTATAGGTAGGTCAGTGGTAAGAAAACTGACTCCTAGAGATAAAACCTGAAAAACTTAACAGGAAAATTATAATAAAAGAACATAATAATCTACAAAGGGGCATAAGTCTCTGAAAAACTTGAAACAGGACTCCTTAACCCACGAACTGTTCTTTGATCTCAATATCGGCTCTTAGCTAAAGTGCGATAGAATTAAATAATGAACCGGAACTCCAGTGGAACTCTTCTGGGCCGAGAGTTGGATAGTTGAATCAACCATTCATGGTCTACTTTCTGTTCTGTCACGAGGAAAAATGTTTTGGCGACAGTTGAAAGCTGAGCATTTGTGTTGCAAATTCTTGAGAAATGGCAAGCCCCTGGCCAGGGCCGTCAGGAAGTGAGGCCGTTCTGGTTGTTCAATCTGATTAGTCGAATGATACATCAAAACAGGAGAGAAGATGAAGTTCCAAAAGGGCAAGAAGGATATGACCCTTGGGCAAAAGTTTCTTTCCTACTGAAGAAGTTCAATGCTAGTGCTAAACAGGATTACACTCGGTCCATGAATATTTCAATAGATGAGAGCCTCATCGGCATGAAGAACAGGAGTGTCTTTATTCAGTACATGCCGAATAAACGTCACTCGAGATTTGGAATTTAAAAATTCCAGTTGTGTGATTGCAATAGTTTTGTTGTGCACACTGAGTTGTATGCAGGGAAAGACTTGGATGTTGAAAGAGATGTTGGACTTGCGGTTGGAATTGTCAAAAGTCTCATGGAACAGAGCAATTTGTTTGGCAAAGGTTATCATTTGTTTACTAACAATTTTTATACAAAACCAGCACTGGCTAATTACCTGTGAGCCAAACAAACAATACTAACGGTAACAGTCAGAGAAAACATTAAAGACTTTCCAAAAACACTTGTAAAAACCAAATTGAAGGTCAGTGAAGTGAAATTTGAACGGAAGGATCAGGTCTTTGCAATGGCATTTTGTGGGATAAAAAATCAGAGTAAGCCAGTGTTGATGCTGTCCACAGCCCATGTTGCTACGAAAGCAGTAAGGGGCAAGGAGATCTCAAAGCCAACCATGGTGCTGGACTACAATTTTCACATGGGTGGTGTAGACCTCGTGGATAAGAAGATTTACCATTACGCCGCTGAGAGATCAACGCGTTGGCATTAGAAATTTTTTCCCCATAATGTGCTGGATATGTCTATTTTCAATTTGTGGATTATCTAAAATTTGTCAGTTGACCAAGAACAAAAAATGAAAAGAAAAGACTTCCTCATTTCAGTACTGGAAAAACTTTGTTTGAATCCGAAAGATGAACAATGACAAACACCAGCAGCAAACCCTGGCATCCCGCAACTCTAAGGCACTCGAACCCCTGAACACCGATTATATCAGCTGGAGGGAAAGAAGGAGAAAGAATGTTATGTCTGCAGTCGAGCAACACCCACTGCAAGCAAGAAAAGAAGCCCAGCTTGTGGGGTCAGTTGCCACGAAAAATGTATGAGAGCTATCTGGTTTATACAACTGGATTGAGTCAAAAGCAGAAAAAAAGATGCCAATGAAGGTAGGCAAAATGAACCCCTTATGCCTTGCAAAATCATTTACTGCATGTTACTATTACAATTTGGCATGGAGTTCGTGTCAGCTGCTTGTTTGTATGTATTAGCTCTTATTTCAAGAAAACAATGCACATAACGGTTCATGTCTCATGTATGTATACTGCAGTCTCCATCAGAATTACTATTACGCATTGATTTGAGAAATTAAAAAAAAAAATTCAAATCTTGCACTCTCTTCATAATAAATTATATTTGTTTGTAAAGAGAATTGAATGCACTACAACTTGGCTATTTCAGTTTTTTCACTTGGGGCAATACAAATTTTATTCTGAACTTTTTATCAGCTTTTATTCTCTAGGAGCTAAGCAGTCATCTTGCAAGGTCAAGGTCACTGGAGCCAAAGGTCACAGTCAAAATTGAACAAAAATGTCATAAGACATTTCCTTATTCATTTACCGTTTCAAATATATATACTTACGTGGGGGAGATAAATGCTAAACAAGTACAAAATGCGCATGAGTAAGTATGGTATAAACTCCGAAAAAGTGCTGTGACATTCTGGCCCGTTACCTATGACAGTTCGAGGGTTAAAAGAAGACATAATACATAATACTATTTAAACTCAAGACTCCTCTGAACAGCTGTGGACTGTCACTGAGGCTGTGAATATGTCATAGAAAAGAACTGCTTTACTTTCAGAAGGGCCCTGAGGGAGGCTTCTCTCCGAAACAGATCTACAGTACTTCGTAAAGGGTTCAGAATCCACACCATTAATTTCATCAAGGGGAAAAACAAATCATGCTGGACTTCAAAATTCACAAAGACTTTAGGTAAAACATTTCACACGCTCGAGGTTTCTACAATTCCAGTCTCCTTTGCACTTTTGCTAAAGCACTTGAGTCAGGTGCATGGGTGATGGGCGTTTGTTGGGAGTCACTGTCACTGTCCTCACCGGTGCCAGTACTGGGTATGCTTGGCTTGCTTGCATTCCTGAAATATAGAAATGAAAGTTAGAGATATATATAGTACACTCATCATAATAAAAGTAGTTTTGCATTACTATATTACTACACCCAGAGTTCATGGACAAAGTCGATAAATGCCAAGCATTACATTACATTACAACCACAGTGGAGATCACCTGAACCAAAATCCATGGGACAGCAGGTTTTTCTCTGATTTAGTCGTTTTGTATTTTTCGTTTGGAGAGTGTGTTACTCCATGATTGCTTCTTTACTTCAGCTATTTTCCAGTGAGGTTAAAAAAACCTGTTGAACTTCCTGCCATGAACTCCCCACCAAATTCAAGGAGATTCCAAGGAGGTTTCAGAGAGTAATTTTAAAAATTCAAGATTTGGTCAAGAAATTCATGCTGAAAGCCTTATTTCCGATAGGCCTACACTTGTCTGAAAGGAATCGTAGTTTCAATTTTCCGCCCAAAATATTGTTCATATCTGATCCACTGAAATTTGAGGAGTTTTCAAGGAGGTTCCTCAAATTCAAGGAGATTTTTCCTTGAATGCAAATTCAAGGAGTTTTCAAGGACTCCTCGAATTCAAGGAAGTCGCAGGAACCCTGTTTGCAGTTTTTTCTCTCCCACACATGACTCAGCAGCGTAGAGTTGAGTATGCAATGCTTGCAGCAAATTTTACTTTTATAAAGTTTTTTCCTCACCTACCTCTAGTAAAACTGCAATTTGAGCTGCAGGCTGTACAAATTGTGGGACAGGAGGGGAGGAGGGAAAAGAATCCAGGTAGTAAACTTAAAAGTTATTTACTTACTCTCTCCCTACACCGTCAGGTACATACATAAGGTGGAGAGCAGTCAACGGCACACTTGCCTGTTCCTGGCCACGCCCTCCAATTTCGGCACATCCAGCCTCTGGGTGATTGCCCCATCCCTTCAGGTGGCAGACAGTCCCACAAAAACATACATGATACAACAACTGGGGAACTCACCTAGTGAAAGCAAACCGCGACAAACATACATGATACAACAACTGGGGAATTCACCTCGTGAAAGCAAACCGCGACAAACATACACGATACAACAACTGGGGAACTCACCTAGTGAAAGCAAACCGCGACAAACTATGGAGCTTTTGTTGACCTCTTCCTGGTGAAACTTTTGCCTTTCTCCGACTTCGCGACAGGCCAGGAACACGGCACGACTGTTTGCCTGTGGCCAGGACAAAAAGGAGAAATTTGCAATAACACACTTGTCCTACACATGTCAACAGAGATGACAACTGACCATGACATTTTTAAAAAAATCAGGAACTTTCCAGACCGTCTGGAAACATATATTCATGGGAACTCAAAAGTCAGTCATCATTACTGTCTAAATCTAATACATCTTGTAATAATAACATTATTAATCATAAATAGCATTTCTGTAGCCCTCTGTCCATTTAGAAACAAGCCCTGAGCACTGTCCATTCAATTCATATTTAAAGAAGAAAAACGGGGTGGGCAGCATGGGAAATCATTAAGTAAACAGCTACAACCTCCCTTGAACCTCTTATGTGACATCAAGGCACCCGTCTGAGGTTAAAAAAAAAAGCTTCCCCCTACTTCAATTTCCAATGGTTAGCAGTTATGCCTGTTATTATGACTAAAAATGGGTTACGCAAGGTCCAGCATCTAATCTGAACAATACCAAAGGAGTTGCCCCCCACTCTATGTTGCTTTCATTAGCACTACTTAACACAGAATCTGTTAACACGAAGAAATTCTCTGGTCCCACGAAGTTTGTGTTATCAGGGTTTTCTTTTATGGAAGCTGACGGAGTTAAAGAGCTTTGGTGGTTTCACTCTGCTAAATTATGGCGCAGAAAAGGAAGATCTTTTGTAACAGATTATACAAAAGGTACATGAGGGAGACTAATGTACCAGTAAATCGATCTTGCTTCCCCCATGATCTAACAACACACACACGTGAAGTCAACTCACCTGACGGAGCAGAGGCTGTGCTGGTAGACTTCTTAGTAATCTTAGTGACCTGGGCAGAAAGAGGGAAGGAAATTAATTCTAGGAAACCCCAATTAACCTAGCTAGCCATCATTATAAAAGAGGAGGATGAAAAAAAAAGAAGAAAAGAAGCAATTTTAATCATTTCGAGCAGGAAAAGGAAAGACGATGCACACAGGAATGAATGAGGCAAGAATAGTCGTCCCCTCCATCACATAAGATAGAATGTAACAACAAGGGGAAAGCAAAACTGAAATACAGAAATAGCAATAGCAAAGGGAAAAAGAAAGTAAAACCTACCAACCAATGGCACCCTCCAACCACCCAAATATAAAGCAACTGGACAACTCCCTCTAAATTGAAGGCAGTCTACTGAGGTACAGCTGACAGTAAGTCAGAAAAATGTCAACAATGACCATGATTTTCCAGTGGCAGTTCACAGCAAGACAATTTACTCTCAGTAAGAAAACACTTTGGAAATGACATACACGTTTCTGTAGATGTTAATATTTTACTTTGAATTTCTGCCAAGATGTTCACGGTTTGTTTTGTATTTCTGTGGAGATGATCTTTCATTTCACATTTTTATTAATCTTTAAGTTTGTCTCTCAATTTTGTAGATAGCAACAATTGTTGTTTCCCACTTTTGTAATTCTAAGCTATAATTGTTGGTTCACAATTTTGAAGAGAGAGCTTAACTGTTCCCCAACGTTGGTAGACAGCTATACTATAATTGTTGTTACATTTTTGCAGATGTTACTGTTTTATTTAGTTTTTCAAACACAAGTTCTTTTTTAAATATCTTTACTCATACTTGTGAAGAAAACAAAAAGGTGTTTACTCAGCTTATGACTGCCATGTTATAGATTTAAGGATGTTTTTCTGCGCGCTCATATGACCTTAGCAGTTGCGAGCGCCGTAAAACCTTATACTATACTATAAGGATGTTTTTCTAGCATCTCAAACAGAGAAGGGAACTATAGTCGTGTACAATCAGCGACTTTGACTAAGAAGAGAGGAGGGTAACAGCATCAATGTAACCAAGTAGAAGGAGGAGACCACACATCTCACAGCATCCGAGAACCTCTCACACTTACTTCACAATCCGGCTCAGTATCTGTCAAGTCAATGAAGTCCTGGGTGTTTGGAAGGCAGAAAGAGTCGATGCTGCCAATACTGCTACGCTGGCTCTCATTCACACCTGGAAATCACAAATGTTATAACTTTACATCGGCCTTCCTATAAACCCTTTACTCCATTGATTTTTTCAGCCTTTCTTCCGTAAGGTAAGCTTACAATAAATAATGCCACCATATCAAACACTGCCCACATTTCAAAATTTATAGGTGACGAAAAAATGAAGGTTCTACTAAATCACTGGATAGAGGGCTCCCGACTTCTTGACTCAGTGGAGCAGAGTAAGACAGGACTGTAACTAATTTTAGCAAATTGATGTATTGTGTTAATTGGGTAAATCAAGAACAGTCGAGCACATGCATGACAAAATGGGGGGGGGATGCATCTTTTTGTTATACGGTACGTACGAATTTCAGGCTATATCTAAGGCGAAAGACAAAGCTGGACTATAAGGTAAGAATTTTTAATGAATTATACCCCCTGTCCATGTTGGGTTCATAACTTCAGACGGCTGCCTTAGCCGCAGGGAATTGGTTTGAGGGGAGGTTGTTGTAACTGTTTAGTTGATGGTTATCCACGTTATATTAACTCAGTTTAAGAACAAAAAACAAACAACAAGAAATGGAATAGATAAATTGTACATGCATATTGTGATTATAAAGACAATCTGAAACTTTAAAAAAAAGAATGTTTTCAAATTAGGGACGGTGGGCAGCTTCCCAATGTCTTGCCTCTGTGCGCAGTGACACAAAGCCACGCTCTCACAACCCACTGCACATGGAAAGTGGGATCTGGGTTAAAAAAAACAACCTTGATTCAACATGTTTTGAACGACATGTATTGACAATGTTAGGCTACTGTGAGCGATTTTTAAAAAATGGAAAGGGAAAGAGCCGGACCAAAATTCCTTTGTGCAAACCACATCTTAACCACCAGGCCGGTGCTACTGACTGAAGTGCCTTTAGGCCATACCCAAAGGGGGACATTAACATGTCATTATGCACAGTAGAATTGTAAATGGGCTGATTCATCAATGTCAAGCTCATAACTGCCTGAACTGCAACAGGGAACAGCTTCTTTTTTTCCTAATCCTTACTATCGTCATTTTTTCTCTACACTCTTGTGACCCCGCTATTTCTGGGGTGCCTTGATAGTTGAAGCAGACTTGTTGCTGTTGAAGCTAGAGAGGTGAGCAAAGTAAGTCCGATTCCCTGTAAGGACTTCTCTGTTGACTGTTGACATCCACCCCTTGGCGCTCATATGACCGTAGGCAGTTGTGAGTGCTGTAAAACCTCTTACTAAAACCAGATTTGATGGAATTTGTTATCCTATTAGGGGCAGCTGCAGTGCACACAATAAAGAGGTTTTAATCAGGGATTTTAAATCTGTTTGTAAGAGTTTTACAGCAGTTGCAAAACGATTAGGTCATATAAGTGCTGAAGATTAAAGGTGTTACATGAGAGTAACAAACACACAAAAAAAGAGAGATAAGGACGATAGATGCTTGACAGGAAAAAAGGGGTAGACCACTCCAGAGCACCTGTTTACCACTCAAAGATTTGAAATTCTTTCGCATTAACAGGAATTTTGAGTTAAAAACAACCTACCCCACATTCACAAACGCACTCATGCGCGCCAACACACACATATAATGTGAGGCATCGTGGTGAAATCAGGCACTTGTCAAAATAATGAAATTTAAGAAATCAGCAACGTTTTGCCCTAAATTTCTTTTTTTTTGGATGGGGGGGAGAGGGGCGTCCAACTATCAACTTTTCAGAACAAAAAAACAAAACAAACCCAGACTACCCACGTGTTGGCTGAAAGTGATGGGCATTGGCCAATTAAACAACCCCCCCCACCCCCTCCATCACTTTAAAGAGCTATGCTATAAACATAATTTTGTGCAAAAGAAACTTGTTTCACAAGAAAGAGCAGGGCCATTTTTTTCTTCTTTACAAACGATAACCAAAACTTACTGATTTCCAAGGTGGAGTCCGAATCCTGGCTGCTGACCTCTGACCTTTTATCTCCACTCTCAACAAGGCTTTCTCTCTCACAGCCCTCCACAGAACAGAGGAAGTCTTTGTAGTCCACTGCCTGAACCTCCCTCACATCCTCACTGTCTGTACAACTGTCCTGGGAGTTTTGAGGTGAGCGAATAGTTTGCACACTATGAATTGATCCCCTTTGATTTTTTGGAATTTGAACAGAATCAGATTTACTGAAGTACCTGGAAAGAGAGGCCACAGATGGAGATTCAGTCAAAGTTGATCTACTCCCAGCTCTTTCAGATTTCGTTTTCTCTTCCTGCTCAATAACACATACGTCCTCCTCTTCTTTTTCAAGCCTTGAACTGTCACCAGCATTATCCACATTTACTGGAACAAATTCTGTGGCTTTAGATTGGGGTGTGTCTTGCCTTGGAGTGAATTTAAATTTTGCCCATGCAAATGCAGAGGAGCCCCCTAATCTTTTTGAACTATTTGACAGCACTTTATTCGATGACGAGACTTTTTTGGACACACCCCCAACAGCAATTTTGTTGTGGCTTTGATGCTTTATTCCGCTAAGATCAGAATTCTGACACTTAGACACATCTTTCCCAAAGTCACGACTGTCATCACTCCCTTTATCCTCTTTTCTCAAGGAACAATGCTTTGCTTGTTCAGCAAACATGAGACGAATGTTAGGCTGTCCACACTCAGAAAGTTTCTCCTTCTTGTTAGACGCAGAGGAAGGCTTCTTCCGAGGAGAACTAAGAGCTTTCCTGCTCTCTAGTTTGGTGGATGCCCTTGGTGAAACACCTTGACTGGAGGCAAAATATCTGTAAAGAGAAAGTTCACAGTTGCAACGCATTTGTTGATAGACAAAGAATAAAATATCAGCACTCGATTCACATGATTTAAAGACAGAGATAAGATTAGAAATTCACAGAAACTGGGAACTCTAAGCATTAAAGACTTAATTTGGGTGCATACAACTGTTGGGAGTTCTTTATGGTGAGATGGTACAACAATAGCTATTTCACTAGTAACCAGATATCAAAGTGAAGATTTTATCAACAGCAGGAAGTTGTTCCCATACCAACAATACCCTACTTATACAAAAAAAAAGAAATATATATATATAATATAATAACTGGCCATGCAGGCGTTAAGGGAAATGAAAAAGCCGATAAGACTGGTTGGTGAGGCCACCTCAGTTGACAGCACGGTTCAACCAGATAGGGTCAAGATCCTGAAATGTTTATCTCGCCAGCTGATTGAGGAGGAAGAGAGGCCAGTACAGCTGTGGAGAGGATGATGCTTTTGGGAATACAAAAAGGAAAGCGGCAAATCTGGCATCCTTGCAAGAAAGAACAGAATGTTCAACCAGATAAGCACTGGCACAAGCAGTGGAAAGACCCTCAGCGACATTTTGGAGAGAGCAACAGAGCATCAATGGACATGTCCGGAATGCAGGGATGTTGCTTCTTGAAATAATGAATGGTGTGTCATGTTTGGAGTAATAAGGTTCTGTGTTATGTTTGGAGTAAGGTTCTGTGTTATGTTTGGAGTAATAAGGTTCCATGTTAGGTTTGGAGTAGTAAGGTTTTTAGTATATATTTGGGTTCTGTGTTATGTTTGCAGATTGGAGTAAGGTTTGGAGTAGTAAGGTTCTGTGTTATGTTAGGAGTAGTAAGGTTCTGTGTTATGTTTGGAGTAGTAAGGTACTGTCTTATGTTTTGTTTGTTTAGTATAGGGTTTTACGGCGCTCGCAACTGCATAAGGTCATATGAGCGCGCGGGACACACCCAATACTTTTTCGTTGGTAGGAAATTTTGAATTTTGCCCGGGTGGCGGCCGAAGCCTACTCTTATCGATTTTAGACCACCAAGGGATCTTTAACGTGCGCAACTTGCACACGGG